ATATAAAATAGGCCTATATATATATTTGGGTGTGCATAATTATTTGCATAGATACCTTCTGTTCCTGTGCATTTTATCAATTCCATTCTCAGAAAACATCCTACATTCGAGCATGCCTTTATATGCAGTTTAACGTAATCAGCCGTTACGTTGTGTTGAAACATATTGAGCACAGATTTGTATCTTGAATGATTAGCGTAAAATATCTGAAAAAAGACGATAACGATAAAATACCAATGACTATGACGCCGACCTTAATAATAATATTTAAAATAATAATAAAAATAATGATAATAATAACATATAAATATTTACCTGAGATCCAAATTCGTTAAAGGCATATACAGATTCATTGAAATAATAATATTGACTAAACTCTAGTTCGAATTCTGTGACCCATCCGTCTTGATTTGCTTGTTGAGTTTCTTCGCCTTGCGTTATGATTCCAAATACGGTTTCTGTTCTTGCAAGATCCACAATAATCCAAGGACTAGGGTCGTCTGGGCGACTGTGCCATGATTTAATGCCATCAAGACGAGCTCTACTTGGCTGAGTTTGTTCACCATCATTTGATGACGCACGAAAGGCTATATTCTTTATCACATCATCATTGCTTATGCCAACATATTCACATTTTTTAGCGGTCAAGCATTCTGAAAAATAAAATTTCGTCAAAATTGATATATTTAGATAGATTACAATATATGCTTTATTATTTTCTTTGAATAAAATTCCTGGTTGAGTACAATCGGAAAAATATCATTTTCAAATTTTGATGGCTGAAAACATAATTTTAAAAAATGGCCTCAAGAAAACAACTGATCAATTTTGGTTTGGTTTTGGCTTGATTTACTTTGCATTCAAAGTTACAGTTAAAAAATACATAAAATGAAAAGTGAGAAAAACACTTTTAAACCTATGTAAATTAAACTTAGAACATTTTCTATCGTGAGTTCCATTCACGTATGGTATGGTAACTATGAACTGATAGATGGGGCGAAAGACCAATAACTAGGCCTACATTTTGTCTTTAAGATCTCCAGCCCCCTATGGACCCTAGTGGCTCTGCAAGAATTTACTTACTAGGTTTCACACAGACTGTACTATCAACATTTTCATGAATATTCTTGTCATTATTTGTAATTTTCATACCTGCCAAGAATGAGCCACATTCTATAAAGTCCATTCTCAAGTAACAACCCACTTCCGAGCAGGCTCGCACATGAAGTTTAACGTGCCTAGCTGTTACGTTATTTTGAAACATGTTTTCGACCTGATCATTTCTTGATGAAGGATTTGCGAAAAATGTCTACAAAAATTAAGGAAAATTAGGATAGTGAGTGTCAGAATATAGTTGTAATACAGAGCACTCAACGAGGGACAAAATACTTTAGTTTGGAGAATGGGTGATGAAAGCAGAATGGCGCAGTAGAATGAATAGCTTAGCTCAGTTGACTAAACTGATGACCGACTGTGTGCGTGTGCAACCAGGTGGCGCCAGAAATTTGCCGACAAGGGGACCGACATGTCCCGCGGAGGGGTCCAAACCAAAGAGCCAACTGGAGCCTCTGTCAAACGGTCCGGAATAAAAAAAAATCCCTGGTAGGATTCACGGGGAGAGCATTTATATGGCTTAATATAGTCCAAATTGTGCTTTAGACCACAATATTAGGGATTAGCAATTGAAATAACATTATATAGATAGACAAATTATTATTTCTTGGTCTGATGACCTAGTCGTGACGTCGGACGATAGGAAGTCCAGGTCTGTCCGACAGAGGTGGGGATAATTCCCCCTCCCCTGCTGGCGCCACCACTGGTGCTGAACCGTGGAGATCTTTGGTGACGTCCGGTTCAATACTCGCTTAAGCCTGGTTTCCATATAAATCGCTACACTCTATTGCCGACTCCTTTGGCGACGCTGATTGGTTTGGGACAGCTACGTACTGCAAGGATTACAGTGAAGACGCTGTAGTGACTGTGTAGCGATTCTATGGAAACCAGGCTTTAGTGGAAGATATAAAAATCAAGTATTAAAAAAATGTTTTTTTTTGTTTTTTTTTTGGACGAGATGTTTAGACTGTTGGTCCCGTGTGTGCATTATGGCCCTTGTACAGTATTCCAAGAACGCAGTAATTTTTTTTTGGACGAGATGTTTAGACTGTTGGTCCCGTGTGTGCATTATGGCCCTTGTATAGTATTTCAAGAACGCAATAAACTCTTTGGAAAGAGTAGTGGATTGTCTTAGTGCGCCTAATCACCACCAGAAAGACCCCACTGGATATTATAAGTCTTCTTCTGAAGAAGACAGAGTACTGGTTGGGTAAAACCCTTAACAACTCTGGGGTCAAAATATTGTGAAAAGCAGTTGCACTGATAGAGTAATTTTAGAATTAGTACACTGAACCTTATTAATGTGAACAAAATATATCTATAAAACTATCCAGGAAGGTATATTTTTATCTATCCAGTGAGTCCCAGGCCTATCTGATGTGAGCAGCATCGTACTTGTAAAGACGTAGACCAGCTCGTACGGTAACCCCCTTGTTCCTTAAGGGTCAATTCGTGTACACATTTGACAGGTGAATTCCTGTAGATTGTGCAAAGGCAGCAGGTAACAAGTCATAGTAATGGTAATGGCTGTGAATTTGCATAGCGCATATTACTGGACAGTCACTATGCGCTTGAAAAGCAAAGTCTTGAAAGAAAAAAAATTTAAAAACCCGAGAAATATCCTAAAACTAATAAAGGGAAAAACAGAAGAGACAAAAGACAGCAGAGGGAACCAGTGCCACTGCTCCGTCCAAATTTGTTTTCACGTCACCTGAACATTATGTATTAACACTATTGAATTAATTGAAATAATAATTAAAAAAAACAAAGACTACCTGGGATCCGTTAGTACTAACTGCAAACGTGGGTTCAGAGAAATCGGCATGGTCACTGAATTCAAGCGCAAATTCTGTCACCCATCCATCTCGATCCGAGTCCAGAGAACCATCGCCTTGTGTAATAATTCCAAAGATGTTGACAGTTCGTCCAAAGGCTACACTAATCCAGGGATTAGTGTCGTCAGGATCATTATGCCATGATTTACCGCCACCAAGACGAGCTCTTTTAGGCTCCGTTTGTCCACCATTATGGGATGATCCGTCAAAGGCACCATTTCTTATTTTATGCTTATCTGATAATCCTACATTTCTACATGTTTCCGAACAATCTATTAAAAAAGGGGTTGTTTAGAATTATAATAAGGTCTAAATTAAATCTGTCTTTCCAAGTCAAGGTATATCTGATCGTTGTCTTTCTATCACACGATACACTTCGTTTACTGGCATTTCATTTTGTAATAAAAGAAACTAGGGTTGTTTTCAAAATCTCGAAATTTTGTGTTTAGACCTACAAACTATTTCTCAAATCGTTTATGGATTCTATGTTAATCATTCAGACTTTACTAAATATCTAATCTAAATTGTAAATGGTTCGTTATTAATTCAAATGCAATGCCTCGGATTGAATATTCTCCACTTAGATAGGCATACACGTTAAATACACAATCTTTACAAATATATTTAAACATAAAAGTATTGTGTGAATTATTCAGCCTTAGGCATTAGGGCCAAGGATATATGCCAAACAGTGAACTTAATCACTCTTCAAAGTGGCAATCCCATCACAGGACAAACATACACACAAGATGCTCTAAGCTAAGTCTCATTATGAGGCTAGGGAGTGGAGTTGTTTTGGTCGTGAGAAAAAAATCCTGTTATCGTGACAGGAATTGAACTTAGGACCCTGGGATTGGAAAGCAAGCATCTTAACCACCGAGCTATTCAACTACACTCCAAAGCTACTCAACTCCACTCCAATTGAACTGGATAGACGGACTAAAACTCCGATTACATGATGCATTTTGATAAACATTATACCACATTTCTCTGTCGACGCAATGTTGCTCATTTTGCAGTGCACGTTAGTGGAGCCTGGGCTTATCCTGGGGTGGAAGGTGCTGATGCTCATCATACTGCCTTTGAGTATCTGCCACAGGCGTAGATCCCGGGGGGATGGGGATATATCCCCCAATATTTGACAAGGGAGGATGGTCCATTGTATCATCCCCCCAATATTTTGACTATGTATGGGATAAAATGGAGCTTTAAAGACTTCAAAAGACTGTCACAGAAATAATTTGCAATGTCTTATGCGCTTACAAAGATGAAAATTAGCATAATGTATTAATGTTGATAACAAAATTATTTTATCTGGTACCAATCTAAGCTCTTCTTTCCTTAGATGTTAGATGTGCTTGCAAAGAGAACCACATTTCACACTGAAGGGTGTGTATCAGTAATGTTATATCAATTCCAAGAATGTTTAAGGTTATATCGGTTGATGAGGAATTTATTGATTAGGCCTATAGCAAATTGCATCAATTTATTTTGCAAAAACAAGGTTTCCAGCTTCAGAGTGGGTATTTATTTTCCCGGTTAGTAATTTATCATTCCCACCCCACCCCACTCCCCATATAGAAAACAATACGACATAGGGCTTATCTTATTTATAATATAGGCCACACACGTGTGTTTGAAACTAAATATAAGCATTTTCATCATGGTTTTATTTATTACAACATATTCTTTCACCATCAATACACATTAAGGTCCTTCTTTTAGGTTAAAACGATCTATCTTAAATTTGTCTTTCTTGAGTTTTGGGACTATTATGTGTTTAAATAACTTAAATGGATAAACCTAAAAAACCCTAAAATATGCGCGCGAAGCGGTCAAAATATTTTTGTGTTTTTAATTTTAATTTCGTCGGAATTGATGAAAACTCCTTAAAATTAGCAATTTATAGAGGAAATTGGCCTACCGTAACAAGAAATGCGCGCAAGGAATTTGAGAATTTTAGGCACTTTCAGAGGATGCATTTGTCAAGGGGTGGGGAAAGATTTTCCAAAGATGAATATTTTCCCCTTGTCCCCCGGTGTTTTTAATTCTAATTTTGTTGGAATTGATCAAAACTCTCTAAAATGTGCAATTCTTAGAGGAAATTGGCCCTTGATAACAAGAAATACGCGCGAAATTTGAGGTTTTTTTGGCACTTTCAGGAGATGAAAAGGGCATTTATAAAGGGGTGGGAAAGATTTTTCAAAGATAGATATTTTCCCCTTGTCTCCCAGTAGTTACGCCATCGGGCAGCATAGATCAAAGGAGTTATGACAGATTTTTAAGTGGAGGGGTTGCAGGGTGTTGTGAGTCTGGTCATTATGATATCTTCCTTTTTATTCTTGTCTTTATTTTTCTCTTCTCTTTTTCTTTCCTTTTCTTTTCCTCTTCTTTCTCTTTCACTACCTCTCCCCTCTTTCTTTTCTCTTATTACCCACCGGTAAAAACCGTCAGGGGAA